TATCTTTTTACAAAAAACCAGCTGAAAATGAGAGGTTTTTGGACCAATTTTGTGTTCTCCATTCTTTAAGCACCGGTTTGAGCACCGTTTGAGCACCGGTTTGAGCACCGTTTGAGCACCGGCACCGTTTCAAAAGTACCGATTTGGCACCGGTATCGGATAAAACCTAAACGATACCCATCCCTACGTGTGATACAGCTGGAGGTGATCAGACCTCAGGTGATACAGGCTGGTTGGAGTGCTTTAGCCCTTCTGTGTCCTACAGGTTCAGGTGTCCTGGTCCAGGTGTGTTCCTGTGTACTCTGACCAGACTGGTGTTTGTTATGGCTCAGGAGGCGGAGGTGCTGTACCGGACTGTACAATGGGATGAGAGCCTCCTTCAGCCATCTGGAAAAACAGCTGCAGGACCGCTGTTCAACATCACATGCTCTGAGGATGCTGTCCGTCAGCTCCACCTGCCACACTGTGAAACAAAGGAGGGTGAGCTCCATCATCACTGATGCTCCGAAAACATATGTGTTACTGTGTGGTGCTCATTTAATATGAACTGTTTAGTGTCATACAAATAACCATAATGGAGTTTATTTAGAACAAAACTGGACAGGAGTGAACTTGTAGTTTGCAGGAAATGTAATTCTCAGATATGGTGAAAAGTAAAATTGAACTCTCAGAATCAAAAGCTCTTTGCTCTGACAGTGGTGCATGTTGACGGCCTGCTGTCTGTTGCCCACATCTCTGATAATGGGATGACCGTCTTGGAGCCGCTGGAGATCACTGCCACCCATGTGGTTGTGAAGGTCCCTCACCTTTCTGCCTTTGGCCTCATCTGGGATGTCTTTAAGCGGTTCCTGAACATGGAGGAACCCGTAAATGGCCAAGTTCTGCTGTTCTTCCAACCTCTGGAGACAGGGCCTCGAAGAATCAATGTGTTTCTGCTGCAGGAAAATATCCCTTTGTCAGAGGTGAACAGTTTCATCCTCTTCACTCTGTGCTTCTCTCCACAGAGTCCAAATGATTACTCAGCAGTTTTCTGATGATTAACTAAAGTTATGTACAGGTTTACTGGTCACTCCTCCCTGATTACCTGACCACAGGGTCAGGCTCCAGTTAACTTTTCTGTACTCATATTCACCTTCAGCTCTGCTGACCAATCACTGCTCTTCAGTACTCACTCCCAGTAATGACCCTGAGCTGTGGACATTTGATGTTTGTGACCCATAATGTCAGATCTGACACTTCACTGATAAAAATAGAACCCTGGAGCTTTTTTTCCTCTGTGGAAAGCTGTTTTATCTCCAGAATTATTGTTTTTCTTTGATTCATACAGACACATGATGTTCTACATCTGATGTGTTTATATGAGCCCTACAGGAGAATAGAGTTATTAATGTTACCAGCATAATAAACTGTCCTGTCACTGAAGGTGTCTGCCCAACAAGGACATGTGGCTGAATACATCCAGACCCCTGCTGACTGCCTTTTCAGCTTCGGTCAAAGGTACAGTGTCCACTGTGACCCTGAGAGCAGGATACAGCCAGAGGTGAGTCAGCAGTAACAAACTAAATGCTGCTGACATCAATCAAACTGCTGGATAACCCACTGGTCATGAAAATGGCACCTTTCTGTTGTTTTTTTAGCAAACACAATTTCGCTTAAAGTTTGGCCCAAATTACCATCCAACATTTCAAGTGTTCCTGACTACAAATCCAGAGATCGTGACTCTGATGGTCAAAGACCAAGAGGGGACAGAAACCTGGAAATCATCTGTTTACCTGCCAGGTAAGGTTGCTGCCAGATGCAGATGCAGAGCAGAAACTACCCTGCAAACCTCGGCTACAAGGTTGTTTTATAAAAGTTAACTGAAATCATACTTAAGTCTCTTTTCACCTGCAGGTCAGCGTCCTGTTACATGTCTGTTATCTATCTTTGTTCCTTCAGCACCAAGAACAGAAACCTTAATGAG